ATTTTCGAGTCTCTAGACTTTAAAGAGGGTGCGGGGAAAAATCTAAACGTCTCTCGCAATCTCATTTCTCATGGCTGATCAGCAGCGCAGATGGCAAACGAATTGCCTGTCCGCGATATTAGATTCCATTCTATCTTGCAGTTTTAAGTTCCACACGTCGCGTTTTACGCTTAAAACGGAGTCACGGCGGATAAAGGGATCTATTACCTCAACCTTCAACTAGTATCCTCTTTTTCAAGTAACGTGACCGGTGTCACGGGGTCAGCGTTGACCCCCGGCCTGGGGATCAGGCACTTTTACCGTGTCGTCCGCCGCAGCATCCGACGACCTCTGTGTATCAAATAGCGTGGTAACTGCAGTGCCTCGGTTCATTGTGAATCGTTGCAACCATTGTTGCCGACTAAAAATCTCGTTTTTTCCTATCTCGACGCATTTTGTGTACTTGAAAAAATATCTGTCCATCGGCAAAAAATATTTTAGTACATTATTAAGACGTGCTCTTTACTTTTACAATATTCTAGCCGACGCGACATAAACTGGATAGCTCCTTTTGCAGTTACGCGAAAGAGATATTACAAAATCACGCTTTTTATACATATATGTAGCCTAACGTTTAATTATTGCAGCTACATAAAAATATACATAAAAAAAGAGGCAGGCGTCAGTTTGTAAAAACTTGACTTTCTTTCATCAAGTATAATGTATCTGCAATATTTTTTTATATCCGAAAGACGGATGCTCTTTGTTGAAAAGAACTTGCGATCGAAAGTAGTTACTGCAGTCGGCAGGAAGTTTGCGTGGATCGATCATTCGGGAAATAAAAGTAAAATGTAACGAAACGGCGTAAAAGTGCTAACGTATCGCGACTTCGGGATCGGAAGGGAGGCTGGCGTGAGGTAGTACTGGGACACCCGGTATGCCCTGGTACACGGAGCTTGGACCCACGGAGCGAGCGGGCAACTTCGGAGCGTCTGACCTCTGACCCAGGAGTTCTCTCCCCGTCCTCCTCTTCACGGATCGCGTTCCTCCATCCCTCCCACCCCCGTCCCTCTCCCCTCTTCGCCGTGCCACGCGGTGCATACTCCGCTTTATACTTGCGCTTTAAGCGCCGTGGCCTCTTTTAAATAGCGGGCCTCTGGCCGGGGCCATCCACGACGTCGTCGAGCGTTACGGATTCCCTTGGTCCTCGGGGACGAGATAATAATAACGATAACGATCGCCCGCGCGCGCAGCTCGGCGAAAAAAATTGCACCGAATCGTATAATGAGAGGGACGTGAAAGGCGATCGGCATTGACTCGAATCACGTAGATTTCGTTCCTTTGTCGACCTGTCATCTTTCTCTTTCTTCAGGTCTTGATTCGTTACAATAAATCATTCTTTTACGAAACCCACCGCTCGAGGAATAAACAATTCCAGATCTCTATTATTATTCTGATGACAAGATAATTGAGTCTGATTGTATTGACCGCTTCAAATTATTCGAAAGGCATGGGGGGGGGGGGATATGGATTTGAAAACCGTAATCTACTAGCCTGTGTGTGAAACGAGCTTACATATGTCGAAAGTAAATTGACAAATCCACATTTTTCAGTTTCCCAAAACCTTTCTTAATTGTCGAGTAGTGTTGTTTTCTCATTATCATTTTTTCCTAAGACAAAGTCTGAGAAGTTCCTAAATAATGACGGAGGAAATCTTATAAGTCGCCAGAAGTGATTTAAAGAAACTTCAGAGGATTGCTTGACCATGTCTGGCAAATTTTTATGTTCAAAATCACGACTGACAAATTCATCACTCGAGAAGGACCACAAACGATGGCCGAAACGTCGTGATGGTGAACATAAAAATTTACCAGACATGGTCAAGCAATCCTGTGAAGTTTTCTAAATAATATTCGAACCTGAAATATCTTAACAATTACCGAATAATTAGAAACGAATACAATGGGTATATTTTAATCCTCCTTGTATTAAAGTATTATATTAAAGTATTCTAGATATGTTTGTACACAGAAGAATTAAGTTTTCCGAAAGATGCAATATCTATGGACCTCCACAGGCTCGAACCGCCAACAGGCATGCAAATTTGCTAATGATTCGGTCACGTGAAAGGCACGTTCTCAGATATTGTACTTTTTTATAAAATTTTCTTCTGTGTGACAGTGAGATCGAATCCGCTGATTACAAATCAATCGCTTTCATACATGTATCGATTATTTAAATACATTCATCCTTCGATTTACGCGGTATTTTTTATACCGGTTTCAGTTAGTTCGGTCAGAAAATAATCTGTTGAGAGAAGCACCCTGGTAGTGAACTGAAGTAGAAGCACCAAGTCTTTCTAACGATGAGGACGGCAACTCTGAATCAACCGAAAAGGAAAGGTTGATTGCGTGGGAGCGCAGTACTGACAGCGACAACGAATAAAATTTAAATTTGTTTTTCTGAACTTTCACTATTACTGTTTTTGTGCAAATATGTGAAATCAATATTTTTACAACATACGCGGGCTTTTCTCTTACGTTTTTTTTTACACTGGTAAACTTCACTTGTGCAATTTTCAAACGTGTGAAATTGAACGAATACTCCGCGTAAATCAAGGAACGAGTGTAGACAATTTGTGTGAAAATTCACATACCTACAGTAATGGAGTGAAACTTTTCGATAGTCGAAAACTCGGACTATGATTTCGAACGTATCTACATCTCCGGATTTTAATATGAATATACACATAAGACGACTGGATATTCAAAATCGAGGGGGGGGTATCCAAAGAATAGATCCTAAGGCCCGGTCTACAATGAGTCGTTAGTCGTTAGTCAGAAGTCGCAACTATATGTTGATCCTTTTCCTTTCTGGGTGGAAGAAAAAGGACCGACATATAGTTCCGACTTCTGACTAACAACTAACAACTCATTGTAGACCGGGCCTAAGTAAAAATCATTAGATCGGGAAATAAATTCTCAGACGTGAATACAGTGGAATACAGCGACACGTTTCGCGCAGACTGCGCCCGCACGGACGCGGCCCAGTCCCATTGAACGGATCAATTTTATTTTTCAATATTTCATATCGCGGCCATCCAGTCGCGGGGAGTAGACGCCGCGAAAAAAAAGTTAGCGCAAACCAATCAGCATATCGATATCAAATTTTAATCTCGCACCCTGTGTATCCGGGTGGGATATCGACGTTACGGTCTGATCGCGAAACTACCCATTTCACGGACTGAACAAATTTTTTATCATCTCGTGAACCGATCTCCTTCCTTATCCATTTCAGGGCAGAGATCCGTTCAGGAAATAGGCAGCGATCAAACTGCCCGGTTCAATAGAGAACATGTCAGTTGATACGATAACTTCTACCAGGAAGTGCTTTCTATAGTTATACGTACGATGATTGGATAACAAGCAAAAGTAATTATAAGTAATTTATTCCGAAGGGTATAATGAGAGAGAGAGAAAATAAATGAAAAAAATGTTGCTTCGTGCCTACACTGAAAAAAATTTTTTAACTAAGTAAATAGATTTACTTGAAATTATTTGTTTTTACTGAAGCAAATATTTATTCTATTATAATAAAATAAAAATATCAAATTTCAAGTAAATCTGTGTATTATATTAAGTAAATTAATTTAAATCGTTACATTTTCTACATTCAATTAAAGATTTCACGAGATATAGACTACTATTTATTAATAAATAATCACTATTTCTTAAATGAAATAATTGTTTTTGTTGAATAAGAAATCCAATTGTCTTCGCTGTGAAAATGACATCGTAGAATTAAAATAAAATTTTTTTAATAAAAAAAATTACCTACTCTTTGACATTTAATAAATACTTAAATTAAAGAAATGCATACAGTTTGCTTATTATTTTTTACATTTAAGTTAAGAAGCTATTAGGGGCCACCCAATGAATATTTTTCTTTAGTAAAGTAATATTTTTTTGGATTAAGATATTTCTTTTCATCAGTTCAGTCCGGCCAAGTGATAAGATTTACTTGTATCTCTTAATTTGCCCCGAAGCACCGTAGAACAGGCAGAAAATGATGGATCGTAAGCTAGACCCGGGAGGTTCGGTTCACGAAGTTGACTTCGCGAAATGATTGGTTTCGCGAACGGGACGTAGCGCCGATAGCGAATTAACCGCCCGCTCGATTTGCGCATCGGGGGGGATCGAGCCGAGAATCCGGCTTACGTGTTGCGTGCAGATCCGCGCACCGGGGTCTGCCCTCGCGAAGTTTCTTGGAAAATTGTCGCGAATTAAATGCCATTAAATTTACGATTTGCGCGCCGGCGATTACGCAGCTCGGCGTCGAAGTAAAGGGAGACGTGCCTGGCCGTTACCCGCGGCGGTTACCCTCTGGTAGCGTAATAACAGGGGAGGCCTCAAATTGTGGTCTCGCCCCGATATCCTCCCCCGTCTAGGTGGACTACTCGAGAGAATTTATCGGCCGAATCGATCACGGCGCCAACGACGTCCGTAACCGAGTTAATTTTAGGTAGCTTATGTGAAGTTTTAATTAGAAGCGCGATAGTAATTTGATGCAAAAACTTGGGACGCTCGCTAATGAATACAGACACGGTCGTGATTCATTTCTTTAGGTTTAATAAACAGCGCGTTAATACGTTATTAAAGGCTGTAAATGAAAACCACTGATAATAATTCGTTTATTATTGACGATTGTTCGAGCTGAAACATTTAGGGGTACAGCGATACGTTTCGCAGGGTTAAGCCCGACTGACGTGCTTCTAAAGCGAGCTGTATACAAGCGCAAGAAGAAGAAATTCGACGCAAATTGAATACCGTGTCGCGAACGTTATTTCACGCTATTTCCTGCGAGTCGCAGTCCCTCGCGTAGGACGCGCAAGAAACCCCTGTCTCTACGGCTGTTCCGCGTTTCAACTCGGTTGTTCGCGCCGTTTTTAGCCGTAGTAGGAGAAACCGCACGCTGGTTCCTTGAACTATGCAATTACCTCGGTTTTGTCTTGCAACTTACAGCAGGGAGAATCATTGCGAGATCGAGCGGCGGCGGCGGAACAAGATGACCGCCTACATCACCGAGCTCTCCGACATGGTGCCGACCTGTTCAGCCCTGGCCCGCAAGCCCGACAAGCTCACGATCCTAAGGATGGCGGTGGCGCACATGAAAGCTCTCAGAGGTGAGTAACTTTGATCCCGCGGAATCTTATTTACAATAATGAACCCTTTGGTTTACCTCGGTTGGCGAATTGAAAGGACTTCAAACTCAATTTTCCGAAGACTGATCTACTTTAATTAATTATATACAAGGAAACAAGGCCAAATCACGAACCTCAGTAATTATCAACTGGAAGAAAACGTTAACGAGCGACTTTTATTATTTGATATATTTTAATTGACACAGATACGCTTGTTTAATTAATTAAATTACTGATCTACACTCACGATTGCATAAGTTTTCTTCTCGGTGGATGATGTTACGTGGATTTTACTTGAATGGAATTTTTTATTCGAAAACTCGGAGCTGCTAACGATGAGTCGTTTAATATCGAAAATTGAAAAAGTTGGGAAAATCGTTGCCTTCGAATGATCGCCGAGAAATACGCTAAAAATACGACGGCAATATGTTGGAGAACCGCCCGCCATTATTCGAGGTGGAAAGTTCTCCGCGGAGATTTTTCGCCGAGAGAGGTGAGAAAACTTCGAGTGTCGATAACTTACGAGCCACTCATAAGAGTCATAAGCTACTTGAATTTAACTTAAGTAAGTCTCGAGTTCTGGAGCTCGCACGCGCCGCAAAGTCGGCAAATACCAGCGGAGAATTTTTCTTCCCATGTTCCCTTTCTTTTACTAGATAACGCATTTTTTTTAAATCGAACTTTTGCTCATATCGCATTCGATTTGCTTCCGATAATGCGTTGTTGGGGGTCATTTTGCGTTATTTTGCATTTTGAAAACGTGTTCAAACGAAGTCGGGGATTCCAAAGTGTAATAAAATGACGTTAAAAACGTTCCTGGGGCATTTTGCGATATTTTGCATATAAAGAAAACATCAAAATGTCATACCTTTACGTATATTACTCATTCTTACTTAGTTGTGCTTCTCTTTTTATATTTTATACGCTGTAACTTTGTTCCAACAAGTTTATTTATGAACGCGGGAGGACAGAATTTTTTTTTCTCTCTCTCCCCCCCCCCTGCTCTCCTTCCTCTTTTTCGTTCTCCTGGCCGTCATCGATAAGGAACGGTACGGTTTTCGACGCGGGACGTGACGATTAAGTTGCAGCGATGTTTGAGTTATCCGGCACGAGCGATGCAATAACTTGGGCGCAACGCGAGATCTCGGTGCCTTAACGCGAAGCCGATTAAATTACGGCCGCAGTTGACCTGCCGTACGTTACGTTACGTACCTACGACTATCGATTACGCGGTGAAACACTCGCCCGAGAGTCCCTCCCGGCTCGGCGCGCGAGAACGCGGCTGGATCTCCGTCTCGGCGAAGAGGCGAAAATTTACGAGCGCTTTTAGGATACTTACATTGCCGACAGTATAAGTATCCGCAACTTCCTTGTTAGGCCGAAGACGGAAAGGCCGAAGATGTTCCGCCAGGATCTGCGTCGTGCCTTTAAATAGCTGCGCATATCGAGCGCATATATCTTCAATTAAATACGAGGGGTGAACCGCTGAGGACATTGTGGTGTACAGATTTGCAGCATTACTGGCCATTTTTGGGGCATTAGGCCTTGCCGGAGCATTATAAAGATAAAATCAGATTAAATAAACAATAAAATTCATAAGCC